CAATTATGAATAATGCTACAGTGTGTGACATCATTTCATACATGCATAGGGAGCTACTTTAAACCATTTTGGTGATTACTCCTTCTGATAGTTACCTTCCTAATGTTTTTTTTTTTTTTTTTTTGTCTTTTTTGAGACTGGCCGTACTGCTCTCAGCCAGTAAGCGCTGTGAGCACATCGGTCATCCCTATATAGGATCCGAACCCGTGGCGGGAGCATTGCTGTGCTCCCAGCGCCGCACTCTCCCGAGTACGCCACGGGCTCGGCCCAACCTTCCTAATGTTAAATAATTTTGCTAAAGATTATGCTTTTACTGATATTTCTTCTTTTCTCTCAACTTCTTTTTTTGGTTTTTGGTTTTTGGCAGCTGGCTGTCAACTTTTTTTATTTAGAAGTATTTCCTGCTTATGGAAAAGTTGAAGTAATACTTTGACTCCTTTGGAAAGTGATATTTTGTTTCATATGTGTTTCTCTTTCTCTTTTTTGTAACAAACTTTGTTTCCCAGGGGTTGGTGCCATCTACATTCGTCGCCGTCCCCGTGTGCGTGTGGAGGCCCTGCAGAGTGGAGGGGGGCAGGAGCGGGGTATGCGGTCTGGGACAGTGCCCACACCCTTGGTGGTGGGGCTGGGGGCAGCGTGTGAGGTGGCACAGCAAGAGATGGAGGTATGGGGAGAGCAGTTCCCTCCCATAACTTCTTCCCCTGTGCTCAGTCTCCTATTTAGAGATTCTCAGCATGATTGAGTAAGAGCTCTGCTGGAAGAGGAGATTTTAAAAATCTCTGTCCTAGTGCTTCTGGCACCTTGTCCTGAGGGAGGTGTTATAGGCTCCAAAACCCGTGCCCTTTTAGTAGTTATTAGTTCATTTGTTTCAGGGTTGGTAGAATCCCATGTCTAGATATTGTGCACTTTTTGCATACCAGGCACTGTGTTCAGTGCTGGAGGTCCAGTGTTCTCCATTAGTAACATAGGACGATAGGTTGGTCTGATGCACAGTCACTTCTGGGTATAGGAGAAGGGCTCCTCAAACTATGTGTTTGTGAGCTGACTGATGGACAGTACGTTTAGTCCTCCCTTGCCTGCTTCTTAGTACGACCACAAGCAGATCTCAAAGTTATCAGAGCGGCTGATACAGAAGATAATGAAGAGCCTTCCAGATGTGGTGATGAATGGGGACCCTGAGCACCATTACCCCGGTATGGACATGCCCTTTCTATCCCCATTCTGGAAGAGGCTGAGACTCTGAGACCCTTCTCATAATGTTTTTTTTCCTCCAGGCTGTGTCAACCTCTCCTTTGCATATGTGGAAGGGGAAAGTCTGCTGATGGCACTCAAGGATGTTGCCTTATCCTCAGGGAGGTGAGTTGGACCAGATAGACAGGAACTGTGGCAGGACCTATTAGGTTGGCTTCTGTGTGCCATATAGGTTCTTATGTTTCCCAGTGTGGAGATGACAGGCATAAGAGCTCTTTTTGAAGGGTAAAGGTTATTTTGTAAGTGTCTTTCTTTTTTATTTTTTTATTTTATTTTATTTTTTTTTAAAAGATGACTGGTAAGGGGATCTCAACCCTTGGCTTGGTGTTGTCAGCACCACGCTCAGCCTGTGAGCAAACAGGCCATCCCTATATAGGATCCGAACCCGTGGCCTTGGTGTTATCAGCACCGCACTCTGCCGAGCCACGGGCCGGCCTGTGTCTTTCTTTTTTAAATAAAGATGACTGGTAAGGGGATCTTAACCCTTGACTTGGTGTTGTCAGCACCACGCTCTCCCAAGTGAGCTAACCAGCCATCCCTATATAGGGATCCAAACCCCTGGCCTTGGTGTTATCAGGACCACACTCTCCCAAGTGAGCCATGGGTTGGCCCTTATTTATTTATTTTTTTTTGGCAGCTGGCTGGTTCAGGAATCTGAACCCATGACCTTGATGTTATAAGGCTGCTCTCTAACCAACTGAGCTAACCAGCCAGCCCTGTACATGCCTAGTTTTTAGCTGGCTGGACACAGACTAAAGTTTACTACCTCAGGAAGGCTTCCTGGGGTAGAATTTTGTGCCTTTTTTGGTCTTAGGGGATGTATCTGTTCTAGGGATACACAAGCAATTCTGTCACAGGCCTCCAGAATTGAAATGCTCCAAAGACCATCAAGGGTTTAGCTGCCCTCTAGGCTGGTACAGATGGTGTATTCTGTCCTGGAGGAGTGAGTGCATGGTCCTCTGCTGCCTCCTTTTGTCAAACCCAGCTCATGTGGTATCATGCTCTCTCAGGCTTTGGTAGTGTGCTTGTCCAAGGAAGTTATCCACCAGAGGGGCCAGAGGAGCTAGGTTCATATCCCAGGATGTATAGAGCAGCATTAGGACCTTTAGCTCTGCTAGAATAGAAGGTTTCTTTTGTCTCCATAGTATGACTCAAGGGCCCTGGGGGGTGGGAGCAAGATGGGGGTTAGTGGCTAAAAGCACATGTTGATGAACTGAGCAAAGCTCATGTCTGTCTCCTTAGTGCCTGTACCTCGGCATCCCTGGAACCTTCTTATGTCCTTAGAGCAATCGGCACTGATGAGGATTTAGCACACTCTTCTATCAGGTCAGTGAGTTGAACTGCAACATTTAAGAAAGGCATCCTCTTATATTTTTTATCTCCTATTATGGTCTTTCTCATCTATTTCTCCTTATCCCTTCTGGATTCTTTGTGAAAGTTCTAGAGCAGTGGCTCTCAGACTTCACTGAGTATCACCTGGGAAGTTTGTGAAAGATGACAATTTCTGAGTCTCACACTCAGATATTCTGATTCTCAAGATCTGGGGGAGGAGTAGGAAATGTTTTCCCAGCTGATTCTACTGTGGGTGGTCCACAGACCATGTTCCGAGAAACTCTGACTTAGAGGGGAAGGACCATATTCTTCTTTCCATGTCTTTTTGTGTCCTCAGTGAGTATTTACTGAATCAGTTTACCCCAGTGCCAGAGCTCTGATGCAGAGCTCTTCTCCCATGCTTTTTTCAGGTTTGGCATTGGACGCTTCACTACAGAGGAGGAAGTGGACTACACAGTGGAGAAGTGCATTCAGCACGTGAAACGTCTTCGAGAAATGAGGTATGCATTGTTGTGTCAGTGACCCTTTGGAAGAAACTGTAGTGCTATCTCCTCTCTTGTCCTCAGGCTGTATGTTCACACTGACAGTAACCAAAGTTTGAGAGTACTTGGATTTTAAGATTTAGAGATTCCATGAAACAAAAAAGTGGATCTCTTTGGCTACTTGTTTTCAGAGTATGAGAAAGTAATTTTAAAAACTAAATAACTACCTAAATGCAGATAGTATTTTTCATTATTGGTATTGATAGTATTAGTAGTTGTCATTACAGCAATATCAATACAAAATTAGTGATTTATTGGCTAAGTGTAGGAAAACTTCCTTTAAGATAGGGATTCTTAATTTGGGTTCTGTGGCTGGACTTTAGCCCTGGAACATGACAGCCCTGAAATTGTTTGCTAAATGTAGTATAATTATGTATTTTCCTTGGAAGAAAGTCCATAGTTTTCATCAGATTCTCAAAAGGTTAAGACCTACTACTCAGTTTTCTTTATAAAGGTCAAGAGATTCTTGACTAGTCCGTTACCACCAGGGTTTCCCCTTGTACCCATAGAGCTTAGTTTCCTCCTGGTAACATTGAGGCCTCTGGATTTTTTTGACCCTGGCTCTGTCCTCATTCAACTTGACATTCAGGATTCTCTTGATCTAGTTGGTGGAGTGAGGAAGTTCAGGTATACACCCTGTTTTGCTTTGTGAGATCTCCCAGGCCTTCCTTCCTCTGGATTTTCCTTCCTATGGTCTAGCTATATTGCTTAAACATCTACAGCTTGCTTAGTTTTCTTAGGCTCAGAATTTTTCCTTTGGCCTGGCTTTCTGGTACTCTCTGGAACACTCAAAGGGCATTCCTACTTACCATGCTGTCAGCAAAGGCTTATTCTTCCTATCTGTGTGGGTAGGTGTGCATTTGCACTCTATTCCTTCTGACCCTTTACAAATGGAATTCAACCTGGTCCCATTAGCCCTAAGCCAGAGCCTTATTTTGTGAGCCTGTGTAAAAAGTGACCTTCAATAAAGAGAAGGGACAGGAAAGAGATGGCTAACTTTAAGGGGCTATGGAAGATGTCATAAATAGAAAGGCATGCTGGGAATGCATAGTATGAAGGAGAGGAATAAGCCAAGAATAGAATTAAATTGGATAGAAGAAAATTAACTGGAGAGATCCAAACTACTAAATCTCACAGCCATAGCACACTGAAGTAATATCTGGTCTAGGCACATTATCTAAGACATCCAAGCTGAAGGGGATCAGAGCTTCACAGAGATTTCTCAGCTGCAGTTCTTATGTGAAATGGGATGCTCAGGTCTGAGATCCAAGAGGTCCTTTTGGATTGGAGTCAGTGATGTAGGAAGCACAGTCCAATTCTGGGGAGATGAAGCTGGTAAGGACTGAGTAACGGCAGTGCATACCAAGATGATTTAGGGCTAGTTTCCAGCCCTCAGTGGGAACTAGAGTAAAACTCAGAAACAAGTGCTAAAAAGTGGCCCATATGTGGTGGACATTAGTAGAGAGGCTGAAATTGGTTGCTTATACAGGTCCCTAGGGTCTTGTTCCCCCAGGGAGATTGTGTCCCTAGCCTCTCATAAGTGGGATAAGAGCTTCAAGAATATGACCACACCTTATGCCCATTGGCTGAAGGCCCCATTGCAGCTAAACCTGGGATACCTGGTTATTCCTGTTTGTTGGCAGTTGAGGAGAGGCTAGAACTGACAAGGACTTACAAGTAGCTGGGGAAGATTTATTAAACACCTGTGTTGGGGTCTACCAGGGCAAGAGACAGAGGAGAGACAAGGACCGGAGGAGGCAAATCATTGCTCAGGACCTCAGAACTAATGTTGGCTGCTTCTTATCTAAGCCTTCACTCATGCAGTGCCTCTTGTCTTTGGCAGCCCTCTCTGGGAGATGGTGCAGGATGGCATTGACCTCAAGAGCATCAAGTGGACACAACACTAGAAGAGTGGGCACCTGACTTTGTGCTGGCCTGTCCCTCCTGCCTCACTGACCCACAGTGAGGTGCTCCATGGTCACACCAGAATTGGTATAGCCCTGTTAACTTCAGCATCAGCCCACCTCCAAGACAGAAACACAAACTATCTTTCCCTGACCTCAGTTCCTTTGATGGAGAACACTCCCCATTTCTCTCCAGGAGTTCTTCTCCAGTCTTACAGTGTGTGGACATTCTCATTCTGAAGCAGTAGAGACATTTTGATATTGCTGCTGGACATGTCTGTGTCCTTGGTGGGGATAGCAAGAGGAACTGGAAGAAAGCTCTTTATTCAGGGACCCTGCTACTCTATGTGGACACTTGAGTCGTCGCTTTTTGCTGCTCATCTGAACTGGCTTCTCCAGCAACAAGCATAATCAACTTTGATTTAATCTTCTTTTTGGCTGCAAAGGGTATCTCTTCATATTGACTGTAGACTGAACAGCAAGTTCCTTGGAAGGCTTGTCTCCTTTCTGCTCTCATCCTCCTTCCTTTCTTTCTACCTAATGGAGCTAGAAATATCTATTATGACTCTACCCATTATTCTAATAATTTATGTTTCTTTCCTTAAAATTTTTAATTTGAAGATTGGAGAAATAAACTCATCTTTTCTTTTTTTTTCCTTTTTGTCTTTTTTACTGACCGGTAATGGGATCGCAACCCTCGGTATCACACCCATACCGGGAACCAGCAACGGGATAGCAACCCTCGTTGTTGCGCCCGCACCGCGCTCAGCCAGTGAGCGGGAACCGGTCTTCACATGGGATCCGAACCCT